GTGATTACAACCAAAAGTGTGAGAGTTTATGCCATTTTCTTTGTCATTTTTCCTTACTCCCAACGCCACCATGTGGTTCTTCTATGAAGTTTTTGTTAAGGATTTATTCATTGCAGTAAGTAACAACATTTTATAAGCTATACTTCTGAACCAATTTCTCGACTAATATTTTCAAGCATGATATCTTCGTTAGAGTAAGAAATGAAGAAGGATCGTTGATAAATTTTAAGGAAATAAAATGGGATATTGAAGTTTTCGTAATGTGAAAGTTTCCAAGACAAAAAAAAAAAAAAAAAAAAAAAGCAGTACATGTGCAAGGATAAAGAACTCGAAGCTTTAAGAAGGCTCATACCAGAGACCAAAAATGAAAGACAGTTGATGATTTGTCAAGATCCCCATTGTTGAAGTAAAATATGTTAGTTTGGGAATTCTAATTATAAGCTCTCTTTGTGATATCTCTTCTTCTTTCTACACAGAACAGAAGAGAGAATTACAATTATAATTCTTTGCAATACCTTCATTATATAAGCACACAAAGAGGGTTACTGTTTTCAGAACGCTAGCTGGTTTTGTTTCTCATTTGCTTGTTCTAGCATTAGCGTGTTCAAGAGTGAGATTCATGAATGGCTTCAAACTTGAAAGAAATAGCAAAATTTGACTTTAACGTGCCAACCCTAATAATCAAAGTATCGAGTTGGTGGGGATTTAAGTGCCATCTATCTCATTGAAGAAGTATGTATCATGTTTGGTTAAAGCACAATTTTTGGAAATATATTTATACTGCTAACTGGAGGTTGGAGGCAAGCTGTTAATCATACGAATATGTGTGTTATGGAGTGAAAAATAAAAATAAAAATGTTATGCTATCTGGTCCCATAAGTCTTATATATATAGAATTGGTAATCTCAATTTTTTTTCCTTTTTTCCTTTTTCAATTAAAAGAACTTTTCATCATTATTTGTGTTCGCCATTGGAAGCATGTTTTTGATACCCAACCGGTCATTTTAGGAACCCTAGCCCTGTCTAGTAATTATAGACCGGGCTTACCTAGTTTTGGGTCCGGGTCCAAGATGTAGATTTGGGACTCAAACCGGGTTTTCAAATTAAGATATTTTATTTATTAATTTATATGTGTGTTTTATAACTTATTTTTTATTTTTTTATTTTTTATTTTTATGGAGTCTTATTAACTATGTTCATTTTTATAACAATTTATATTGTTTTATTTATTTATATTAAACAATTGGGAATGGTCAAATATTAAAACCTACCATAAACTTAATCTATGTATATTTTATATTTGATTTGAATTTGAAATTACGTTGATTATTAATGTTTAGGGTAGTTTTTCAAAACATTATGAAAATTAACACTCTTAACAACTTAATTTTAAATTATTGAAGCAAAAATTTAAATACATAATTATTCCCAAATAATGAAAAAAAAAATAATATTAACTTTAAAATGGTAAAAGAAAATAATACCTATTAAACTTTGACCAATTAATGTTTGCTTATAGTTATTTCCATTTCAGTTATATACTCCTAAATTTCCTTAATCTAAATATATTATTTCCTTTCATTTTTAGAAGAAGACTTGAAAATTGTTATTTAGGCTATTACCAGCGCCAAATTAACTTTGCTTAGTTCTTTATTATATGGTATTATGGTTATTTCCTAATTATCTCAAACAATTAATATATATATATATATATAATATAATATTTTCTTAGTTTTTCTACCAGAATTATATTATTTCCTCCCATGTTTAGAGAAAATTATTTGAAAAAATTGGAATTTGGACATTTAGTGATTATAACAATATTATGATTGAATAATATATTACTTTTGTAGTATTTTTAATTTGAAAGAATATATTTAATTTTTCTTTTGACAGAGTGTCAAATCACATATTACCTAGACTCGATTGTTTTCCAAGTATATATATCAGTTTAGGTCCTGAGAACTAACCCTTTGCCAAGCCTAATCGTCCGCTATATGAATGGTTTGTATTAAAAGAAGAAATTTGAGGAAGAGAACATAAAAAGATTGAGATATGATATAATTTGAGGTGGGTCTGACTCCTCATCCAATAAGTCTTGTTGAATAGAATGATCACCCTTTTTATAAACTAGTAGGCTTGAGCGTGCCTAGTCGTGTGAGACTCCAATACTCCTCCTCACGGTCAAGCTCATTGTTGGGTCATGCCTGTTATTAGAGATAGTTATTGGTCTAACTTCCACCCTTGATCAAACACTCAGCTCAACTGAACATGAGCTCTGATACTATGATAAATTTGAGGTGGGCATAACTCCTCACCCAATAAGGCCTTGTTATAAGAGGGGGTATCCTCCCATTCAACAGGCCTTATTGGTGAGAGTTAGACCCACCTCAAATTCTATTATGGTATCAACCCCAGGTTCAGTTGAGCTGAGTGCTTGACCAAGTGTGGGAGTTAAGCAACAACTACCTCTATCAACAGACATGACCCCATATGGGTTGACCATGAGGGAGAATGTTAGAGTCTCATACCGACAGGCATGTCAAGCTATTAGTTTTATAGAGGAGGTATCATTCCATTCAACAGACCTTATTGGTGAGGAGTTAGACCCACCTCAAATCTATCAAGATGATCCATTAAGTACTTTTTGAATACCATACTGTATTATGCTAATCATCCCTGTTTTAATCTAATGACTACAAAATTGGCATAATAATAGTTGTAATTGAGATATAAATGTAGCAATACGTAACCAATTGAGTAGACATTTTAGACTTTACACGTAGTTCTTCATCTAAAATGCGTTTACTTAATTAAAAGACCTAAGACTTATAAATTAAATAGAGATCATTCATTAATATATAAGATTAGACAAACTCCACACCCTTTAGACCTTGCATATTCAAGAGTCTACTCTCAAATCTCTGATATTTTGTACAGCTTAGAGAAGAGAGAGAGAGAGAAGAGAGAGGCAACCCTTTTTTTTTTTTTTTTTTTTTTTATACAAAATTACACAAGTTTGTATCCTTGAAATTAACAAAAAAATGCATAATCAAATTAGGGTGAGATGGAATAATATTTTCACATATTTCAATTATTAATTTATGTAAAATCTCTCTCTTAAGTCTTTTTATTTTATTTTATTTAAATACATACTTTCTCTCCTGATTTTTATTTTTTTTTATTAATATACATCTTTACAACTCACAAATTCTCTCCTCAGCATATCTTCTTCTCACACACAAATTCTCATTTCCTCTAAACAACCTTTTCCTAATTAAATATTGACTTTAAAAGGTGAGTACACAAATTAAAATCCAAGTAACGTCAAATGTTAAGTGACTAAGGTTAAAAAAGCTTAGATATAGTACTAACGAAATTGATATAAAATTATTATACGATTATAAAATCAGCAAATTTTGTAATGTTATAAAATTATCAATAAGACTACACTCACACCTTTTTCATACAATCTTTTTATACAATCAATGTGGTAGCTAATGATTGGTCAGCTCACATTAGGCAAATGGGACCCCCTACAAGTTGACCAATCAGAATTGCTACATCAAGGTTTATGAAAAGATTATATGAAAAAGTTGTAAGTGAGTAATGCTATAAAATTATCTCTTGATTGATTAAACCCCCACATTTGTTAATTTACAACACCCCCCACAATAAAACTTTAAAATTTAACAAAACGCCCCTAAAAAAAATGAAGTCGTCGTTAATGGCTAGATCTTTGGCTGTCGTTAACGGCAAAAATCTGGCCGTCATCAATAGCCAGATCTCGCGCACTACTGGCCAAATTCGGCCAGTCATGTGTTGTTCTGATGGCCAGCGGTGATTGTTGGCAATCAACAGTGGCTTGGGTGGGTAGAGATGTTTTTGTTAATTTATAAATTTTTTATTGTGAAATGTAATTGTTTTTAGTTAAATAGAGTTGAAAAAATGTTAAAATATGATAATAGAAAACAAATCCCAACCACTTTTCATTTTCAATAGAAAAAATCTTATTTGATTTGAATTAATTTTTAAAATAATGATTTAAATAAGTAAATAAACACAAATTCTACCTTTTAATCCAAATAGAATAAAAGAAAAATGATTCGAAAGAGTGAAATAAACAGGGAATTGTCTTCCCCCTTCCCAATACTTGCATGGGGACCAAAAAAAAAGAAAAAAAAAAAAAACTGCGCTGACAATTCATAAGGATAAGTTCATCGGGGCAACAATGTAACCGGACGCCATTAAAGGTGTCAGTGTTCTTATTTCCGGTGGTGTTCATAGCCATCATATGTGCATACAGCGGTTGATAATCGTTGAAACTACTTAACCATAGAGAATGGAAACGGCTGTGTATTTTAGAGAGTGAAAGAAAACGACAAAGGAAAGAGAATGGAAAAGACAAATATATAGAAAGAGCTACTAGGAAAAGAAAACAATTGCTTACATGTTGATACATATATTTCCCTTTATATGATCATCAAAATTAATACATATCATGTCCGTATGATGTTATGTATAGTTATTTTTAGTCTTGTTTAGATATTTCATTTATAGATCTTATCTCAGGATATGTCACGTGGTAAGATGTCTTTATTTTTGTATTCTTTTGTTACTCATTTTCTTGTATCTTCTATCTTTTAAGTGTTTAAGATAGACAAATAAGAGAGATTATGTTCTTAGTTTTTTAGGTTTGTATTTTTGTTTTTAATCCAGTGTATATTGTGAGGTAGGATGACCAATTTTTTATGATCTCTTGGTACATTCTTTCTTTTTTCTAATGATATTATTTACTTAAACAAAAAAAAAAAAAAAAAAAAAGATAAATGCATATTGTTTTACTATATTTACTCTTTGATATTCATTACACTCGAAAAACATGAACTCATGGTTCATTATTTTCTCAATACCAAATTTGCTCGCGAATTTACTTCATTTCCAAAACTTGAATAAGCATTAACTCTTGGAAGAGAAAATCACCACAAACATTGATTTGATCACACAATATCGCTCTCAATTGATTCGACGGACTTATATATAACAATCATCTTCACTTCTAATATTTCTTGATCAGGTTGAACTGGATGTTTCTCCGATGTGGTTTCAGTATTCTTGTTCTTAGAACCACAGTATATCAAGTATATGATTATTTGAGTAATTCCAAATGAAATTCCCACCACATTTGGTAACTGATAATCCAAAAACAAAAATATGTGTATGGTTAATTTATTCATATGTCAATAATAATTTACAGTGCTTGAAAATATAAATGGAGAATTGGTTACTCACTGCAATGAATTTATCCTTGATAAAAAGTCCATAGAAGAACCACATGGTGGCACAGAGAGTGAGGGAACATGACAAAGAAAATGACATAAACTCCACACTTTTGGTAGTAATCACCTTTTTCTGCAACATTAATTTTTAGAAATTAATCCACGGACGAGGGAAATTGAAGATCTTTGTATATGAAGCTTAATTAAGTTGAATTTGAAATTACCATGATGCTTAAAGGAGCGACGAATTCTGCTAGATTATAGGCAGCACATATCCACCCAACGGCAGAGATTCGCTTAAAACCCGTTAGTAGAAAATTGGAAACTAGCATCACCGTACCAAAGGCCCCAACATTTAACACTAGGATCAACGTCAATGTAAATTTCTGCAGATAAGGTATTCAGGGTGTTAAAATCACATATAATGTTGAAGATATTACAAATTCAGTTAACTCTATATAAGCTTAATGAAGTATTAGGTCAAGAGATGAACCTTCTCCTTCCTTGGCGCATATATAAGATAAACTATCAGGTAAGAGACTTCAATAACACACCCAATGCTGTTGATGGTGATAATAAGAAAGCCATTGGGCTTGAGGTTGCCGTAGTACAATAACAATGTTGCACTACAAAGCGCGATGACATAAGGTATTGAATGATACCCTGCCGATGATTTCTTCTTGTAGATATCACAAAATGTTGGCCTGTTTAAAGAGAGAGAGATAGATTGTTATTAGTTGGCTACAATTAACTAAGTGCATGTATACAATAAATTTGCTTCAATTAATCTTACACTGGCGCCAAGAACACGAAGAACGATACAATGTTACCTGTGCAAATTCAAGAAGAAATGAAGAAGGATCAGTTGATAATAATTTTAAGGAAAATAAAATGCGATATTGAAGTTTTCGTAATGTGAAACGTTTATCAAGACAAAAAAAAAAAAAAAAAAAAGCAGTACATGTGCAAGGATAAAGAACTCGAAGCTTTAAGAAGGCTCATACCTAAGAGACCAAAAATGAAAGACAGTTGATGATTTGTCAAGATCCCCATTGTTGAAGTAAAATATGTTAGTTTGGGAATTCTAATTATAAGCTCTCTTTGTGATATCTCTTCTTCTTTCTACACAGAACAGAGAGAGAGAATTACAATTATAATTCTTTGCAATACCTTCATTATATAAGCACACAAGAGAGGGTTACTGTTTTCAGAACGCTAGCTGGTTTTGTTTCTCATTTGCTTGTTCTAGCATTAGCGTGTTCAAGAGTGAGATTCATGAATGGCTTCAAACTTGAAAGAAATAGCAAAATTTGACTTTAACGTGCCAACCCTAATAATCAAAGTATCGAGGTTGGTGGGGGATTTAAGTGCCATCTATCTCATTGAAGAAGTATTGTATCATGTTTGGTTAAAGCACAATTTTTGGAAATATATTTATACTGCTAACTGGAGGTTGGAGGCAAGCTGTTAATCATACGAATAATGGTTGTGTTATGTGAGTGAAAAAAATAAAAATAAAAATGTTATGCTATCTGGTCACATAATCTTATATATATAGAATTGGTAATCTCAATTTTTTTTTTCCTTTTTTCCTTTTCAATTAAAAGAACTTTTCATCATTATTTGTGTTCGACATTGGCAGCAGTGTTTTGATACCAACCTGGTCATTTTAGGAACCCTAGCCCTGTCTAGTAATTATAGACCCGGGCTTACCTAGTTTTGGGTCCGGGTCCAAGATGTAGATTGGGACTCAAACCGGGTTTTTCAAATTAAGATATTTATTTATTAATTTATATGTGTTTTATAACTTTAGATTTTATTTTTTATTTTTTATTTTTATGGAGTCTTATTATACTTATAGCATTTTTATAACAATTTATATGTTTTATTTATTTATATTAAAACAATTGGGAATGGTCAAATATTAAAACCTACCATAACATAATCTATGTATATTTTTAATATTTGATTTGATTTGAAATTACGTTATTATAATGTTTATGGTAGTTTCAAAACATTATGAAAAATTTTAACACCTTTAACAACTTAATTTTATTATGAAGCAAAAAATTTAAATACATAATTATTCCCAAATAATGAAAAAAAAAATATAATATTAACTTTAAAATGGTAAAAGAAAAATAATATACCTTTAAACTATTGACCAATATAATGTTTGCTTATATTTATTTCCATTTCAGTTATATACTCCTAAATTTCCTTAATCTAAATATATTATTTCCTTTCATTTTTAGAAGAAAGACTTGAAAAATTGTTATTTAGGCTATTACCAGCTGACCAAATTAAACTTTGCTTAGTTCTTTTTATTATAGCTGTATTATGGTTATTTCCTTAATTATCTCAAAACAATATATATATATATATATATATATAATATTTTCTTAGTTTTTCTACCAGAATTATATTATTTCCTCCCATGGTTAGAGAAAATTATTTGAAAAAATTGGAATTGGACATTTAGTGAATTATAACAATATTATGATTGAATAATATATTAACTTTTGTAGTTTTTAATTTGAAAGAATATATTTATTTTTCTTTTGACAGAGTGTCAAATCACATATTACCTAGACTCGTTGTTTTCCAAGTATATATATCAGTTTAGGTCCTGAGAACTAACCCGGTTGCCAAGCCTATCGTCCGCTATATTAGAATGGTTGTATTAAAAGAAGAAATTTGAGGAGAGAGAACATAAAAAGATTGAGATATGATATAATTTGAGGTGGGTCTGACTCCTCATCCAATAGGCCTTGTTGAATAGAATGATCATCCCTTTTATAAACTATTAGGCTTGAGCGTGCCTAGTCGTGTGAACTCCAATACTCCTCTCACGGTCAAGCTCATATGTGGGGTCATGCCTGTTATTAAGATAGTTATGGCTTAACTTCCCCACCCTGTCAACACTCAGCTCAACTGAACATGAGCTCTGATACTATGATAAATTTGAGGTGGGCTAACTCCTCACCCAATAAGGTCTTGTTATAAGAGGGGGTAATCCTCCCATTCAACAAGACCTTATTGGGAGGAGTTAGACCCACCTCATTTCTATTATATCAAAGCCCAGGTTCAGTTGAGCTGAGTGCTTGACCAATAGGTGAGGAGTTAGAGCAACAACTACCTCTATCAACAGACATGACACCATATGGCTTGACCATGAGGGAGAATGTTAGAGTCTCATACCGACTAGGCATGTCAAGCTATAGTTTTATAAGAGGAGGTAATCTTCCCATTCAACAAGCCTTTTTGAGTGAGGATTAGACCCACCTCAAATCTATCAAGATGATCCAATTAAGTACTTTTTGAATACCTAATACTGTATTATGCTAATCATCCCCTGTTTTAATCTAATGACTACAAAATTGGCATAATAATAGTGTAATTGAGATATAAATGTAGCAATACGAACCAAATTGAGTAGACATTTTTAGACTTTACACGTAGTTCTTCATCTAAAATGCGTTTACTTAATTAAAAGACCTAAGACTTATAAATTAAATAGAATCATTCATTAGATATATAAGATTAGACAAACTCCACACCCTTTAGACCTGCATATTCAAGAGTCCTCTAAATCTCTGATATTAATTGTAAAGCTTAGAGAGAGAGAGAGAGAGAGAAGAGAGATCGGCAACCCTTTTTTTTTTTTTTTTTTAATACAAATTTAACACAAGTTTGTATCCTTGAAATTAAACAAAAATGATAATCAAAATTAGGGTGAGATGGAAATAATATTTTCACATATTTCAATTATTATTTATGTAAAATCTCTCTCTTAAGTCTTTTATTTTATTTTATTTAAATACATACTTTCTCTCCTGATTTTTATTTTATTTATTAAATATACATCTTTACAACTCACCAAATTCTCTCCTCAGCATATCTTCTTCTCACCACAAATTCTCATTTCCTCTAAAACAACCTTTTCCTAATTAAATATTGACTTTAAAGGTGAGTACACAAATTAAAATCCAAGTAACGTCAAATAAGTTAAGTGACTAAGGTTTAAAAAACTAGATATAGTACTAACGAAATTGATATAAAATTTTATAGATTATAAAATCAGCAAAATTTGTAATGTTATAAAATTATCAATAAGACTACACTACAACTTTTTCATACAATCTTTTTATACAATCCTAATGTGGTAGCTAATGATTGGTCAGCTCACATTTAGGCAAATGGGACCCCCTACAATTGACCAATCACGAATTGCTACATCAAAGTTTATGAAAAAGATTATATGAAAAAGTTGTAAGTGTAGTAATGCTATAAAATTATCTCTTTTATTGAGATTTTTGTATTTATTGCAATTAATTTTTGTAACAATATACTAAATTTTTTTTTTAAAGAAAAAAATTATTTGGTTCATTATTTGATGATTTTAGAATAGTATTTTAAAAGAAGTAAATTAAGTTATTTTTTAAAATATAATTATTAATGTTTTGTGAGATGAATAAAGTAGAATAGGATTTTGAGAATATTGAACAAATGCGTTTTTGAGTTTTTAGGATATAATGGTGAAAATGATAGGTATATAATATTGAACAAGGGGCCCTAAAGCACTGTATTAATCCTAAAACATGTGTTTTTAATGTTGAATAACTAATAGTTAAATTAATATAAAAAATATTATTTCCACCCACCCTAATCTTGACTCTCCATTTTTTATCCTTAAATTCATCTCATTTATATTATAGAAATTTTTTAATCAGAACTTTTGAATAGATAATTATTCATGTATTTATCAAACATAATCAAAACAAAAATTATCTGAGATATCCTAACCACATAATTTAATCACTATCATCTTGAAATTTAATTAGCATAGCTGGGTGGGTGCCCAATTTGGCATTTGCTTGTTTCCTTGGCATCATTTCCCTGCCGTTGTAAATAAATATATTTTGGTGTCAATTATTCATGTGGCTAGTGACACGAATAGAAAGAACACTGTATGCTTATACAAAAAGTTGGCCCCGACGGTCAAATGTGCTCTATTTGAAGTAAATCTCCGAATGGAAACTATCCTCCATTCATAGACACCAATCACAGGAATCCCACGTTATGTGACGACACCTGTTATATTATTGTTGTACATGGTTTTCCTACGACCCGAATTGTGCCATTTGTCTACTGACTACATGAGATTGAGCATCCAGGATCATCCACATGTCACTCCCACAATGAATAACTTAGCTAATAAGCTGGTCAGATCTTAAGCATGGTTGCTCTGACTTAATATGGGGGAAGGTTGATTCAGGTTTGATTACGGGAGATTATGCGTGTAATCTATCAACTCTCAACTACTACCAGATAAATGTATAAAAGCAGACATCACCTCCATTTTGAAGAAGAGACACAAACACCCCCAAAAACCCTAAAAAAATACACTTAAGCAAAGAGCCTACTTAGAAGAGCACTCTAACTCACCATTACGTTCTCCTCTTGTAATTACTCTGTGCATAACATGGGTGGGTGTAAGCATAAGATAATATTAGTAGACGTAGCTTGATTTAAACCCGCAGAATCACTTTAAAAATCTTTATCTTTCTTTATTTAGCACACACTCCACTCCCGAGTTGATTATCCGTATACGCAATCATTCCCATTTCTGTCCGGCCGAATGTTATCGTAAGTTGTTGCGGGTTTTCATAACAACATTTTCATCGGCTATCTTTTCATATTTGGTCTCTTAGGCATGAGCCTTAAGCTTAACTTTTCTATTAAACGTCTCTACACGTAATTCATGGTATCTTTTATTTTACTCTAATTCTCACAACTGATCTCTTTTCTCCTCCCCTCCTCCAAACCCCCCCCCCCCCCCCCCTTAAATTGCACAGGTAACACAGTGTCATTCTTGGGCGTTCTTGGCGCCAGTGTAGAGCCTTTGAACTCATTGAAGCAGATTTATACATATTAATTTTGTGATGGTTTCAAGAAGAATCATATCTATCCTCCCTCTCTGTTTGATCAGGCCAACATTTTGTAAAATTTACAAGAAGAAATCATCAGAAGGGTATCATTCAATACCGTTA